TAAACCCGACGTGTTGGGATACCCTAAGATTCCTGTGTCTGAGACCGGCACTATGTAGAGACGTCAGTGTTGACACTGTTATCAGAGTGTTCCCCCATCCTGCCAGCCCATCTTGCCTCCGTCTCCCACTGTCAAACACCAGCGTATTTTCAGAACAATGTTACAGTGACGTCTTTGTACTGACGGTGGTAAAACTGTCCAAATGTTGATTTTACACAGTTTGAGTACTGGGATCGGGAATTCATTCTGAATTCGGATTCAGTATTGGTTGAGAAGGTATGAATTACTTTGCGTTGTTGGTGGCCATGTTGAAATATTAGATTTGTGCTTTTTAATTTCCTGTTGTTTGGTGTAAAATTGATCAATGGGTATTCCATGAGTTATATTACTAGAATTAGATTGCGTTTCTGGCCATGCTGACAGATTGAACTATTCGTTCACTAGATTGTCTAGTTGAGGGTTGATTACACTCTGTTATGATATAGCTCATGTATGCAGAGTGAGTGAGTGAGTTTTAATGCAGCTTTGAACAGTATTCCAGTTATATCACAGAGTGTCAGCTTAATGGGAGGAAAGCCCCAAGTGATGCAGGCCGTAGACGTTTACCACTTTGGTGGAACCCACGAGCATAGGACTTGTGCTGACAAACCTGGAAACAATATTGGGGTGAACTGGGATTTGAACCTGTGATCATAGGTTTCTGGCGTACCCAAAGGTGCACACTCTGCACAGCAAATTTCAGAGTTGTGGCGTTAAACCCAACTTACTCACTCCATCTCAATGCTAATATAGCAGATCAGAATTGCATTCCTCACTCATCAAACAGAAGATAGTCTCTGACATGATTTCATCTGAAGGATGATAAATTCAAAGTTTGATTTCCTAATGCAGAAAGCCACGGTGATACTGTGGACATGTTATGCCGAAAACTGTCTAAATTTTGTCCTGTCATTCTCTCATCATTTGGCTGTGTACCTTTAAATGTTTGAGAAATGAAGGGTTTGCCATGTGGTTGCATGACAAAGTGACATTGACGACATCGTGACCTAGATGTGGTTTCCCATCCTGTGTCATAGAGGTGCAACCCTTCTTTTGATAACAGAACCACTGCAAAATACATAACTACATTGTCACTTTTTAAAGTCAAATGACCTCATGGTGTCTAATAAAATACCTATTTCTGGTGCCCGGTTTCACACTCGATGATTTCAACAGCAATTGTGGTGGCCTCTATCCAGGCCTATTTCATCTCAGTATGTAAACAGGAAACCAGAGGTCACTGTTAAAGAAATGGGGCTGCATTAAATTGTCTTCTACTCACCCCTTGAAGGCCCATCTGACTATCAGTGGACATACATGCATAAACGCAGAAGGGCATCGCTTTCCTTTGTGGGGTCGTTGCTTAGATAATACCCAGTGTAGCTTTGAATAATACATCCTATAGAATCTTTACAATATACCGTATTCGACGTAATTAGCGCCCCGCTCTAATAAGCGCCCACGGCGACATTTGCTAATATATTGGCTAGTGAACAATCCCAATTAGCACCCCTTCCGATTGATCAATGTACACGACTTATTTATCCGCGTATAATACGCACTCGTGTGTTATACGCACCCTTAATTATGGGCAATTAAATTCTGGAAAAATAAATCTGTCGTACATAAACACTTCAGACTGTCAGTATCAACCACGAAATTTATCTTTCAACTCTGTTTTTTTCCATCAAAATAATATTCTTATAAGAGCCACCTATTTCTAATTTTGAGAGCGCCCTGGGCGCTTATTACGTCGAATACGGTATTCGTAATCACATTCTCTGTCAATAAAGGTTGATAACTCTGGCCAGCCCTTGTGGTGTTGGTCACTGCAGCCAGTCATAACAGTCGTTAGATTAGCCATGGTCACTGGAGCTCTAGTGTTTATTAATGGATAAATATGGCCACCTGGTTGCCATGGTGACTGGACAGTGACGAAGGTAGGCCCGGTGGTCATCCAGGAAATGCCTGGGGTTGCTGTGCACTCAGTAATTTGTGGCGTTCAGTTGGCTATTGACTTGAATTAAATGTTTCAGAAGTTTTGAATTGCAGCCCATCAAAACCCTGATGAAGGAAATGGGATGGTTTTAATGGAAGCTGGCTAATGGATTAGGTAATGCAACCTAGAGTCTTAAAAGATTTTGTTTATAGAAATATTATATTATATGGAGAGAAAACTAAAAGAGTTTGCCTTTTAAGTATTTACTAAGACATGATAGGTCTTAATTATAGAATGTATTGATTTTTTAGGTTAATCAGTGCTAATACTTCCATATACTTTGAATGTTGAACATCATCAATATTATGAGATGAGGCTTTTTAAGAGACTGCGCTTAGTACTTTTCTATCTTTAGAGATGGTGTTTGAGGTTAAAAATCAGTGAGATGGTGTCATTACAAGTGATGATGGGTTTTATCATTGGTCTTAAATGACTCACAATTCTATCTTCACATAATGGGCCTTGGAATTTCTTCAAGAGAAATGTTGATTTCTTTCATAAACTTTTGAGCTCATGCAATTTTTTTCCTGTCAGTAAGTTTTATTTTGAATCATCCCTAAATAACTGGTAATGAAATAAGTTTGCAAACAGAAACGTGCAAACTTAAAATTTTGTGTTGATATCACAGCTAACATGGCTAATGGTACTGCAATGTGTACTGATAAAAATTTACTGGTACACAAAAGAAGTTATAGAACACCCTATTCTTTTGTCTTTCTGTAGTTAATCTGGCATGCCATGATAGATTACTGCAGTTATATGAGAGAATTGGGTGTCCTTTAATTACTTTTGGATAGTATGCATGTTTGTAAACCTCAATATCCTTTAGTTATCTTCCCTCCTTGCAGCGTGTATCTGCTATTGTGATATTTGTTCATAATACACCTCCAGTATTGATATACCTACTTCATTGCATCGTATCTTGTAAGCACGTAGGACACTTCATATTCCATGTGACACTTTGTTCTTGTTGAGGGCTTTAATACTGGTACTACATTTGATCCCTCATAGTTAGATCATGTGGTGACATTTTGATGTGATGGAACATAAACACAGATAAGGATACATGTTCTGGTATGTGTTAACACCCACCTTGAATAGGAGTTTTTACCAGCCAGAGTTAATGGACCATTATCAGGTCTATTTGGAAGGATAAGAGATTGCATAAGTAGCTGGATAGTGTCAGAATATAATCAGATACCTCAATATTTAGCTAGAGGTCTTTGATTCCGATATGTAGGCTGTTAATCAGTTTATCTGACAGGGTGTGTAACACTGCCTCACAGGATATCCTGTGGGGGACCGGACCACTGTATGTGGAGGAAGATGTAGGGGAGGGGGTGGGGATGCGAGCTGTGTAATGAGGGCTGTTGTAAGGAAATTGCCACCTATTGTGATGGACAGCCTGGATTAATGACATAAACATTGATGGCATCCATTTCCTGGATGTAGGGGGGTGAGGGATGAGGAGAGGGTTGGGGGATGAGGATGGAGATGGGTTGAGGTGAAGGTGGGGTTAGGGGTGAATGTTGGGGTTAGGGGTGAATGTTGGGGTAAGGTGAGGTTTGGGGGTGAGGTGAGGGTGAGGTAAAGGTGGGGTTGGTGTAAGGTGAGGGCTGGGGGTTGAGGTGAGGGTGGGGTTGAGGTGAAGGTGGGGTTGAGGTGAGGGCTGGGGGTTGAGGTGAGGGTGGGGTTGAGATGAAGGTGGGGTTGAGGTGAAGGTGGGGTTGAGGTGAGGGTGGGTGTAAGGATGGGGTTGAGGTGAGGGTAAGGGTGGGGTTGAGGTGAGGGCTGGGGGTTGAGGTGGGGATGGGTGTAAGGGTGAGGTGGGGTTGAGGTGGGTGTGGAGGTGGGTGTAAGGGTGGGGTTGAGGTGAGGGTGGGGGTAAGGGTGAAGGTGGGAATGTGGTGATTTTGAGGAACATTGTATCAGTCCTGAAGGGAGAGGTTTGAGCAGATAGTATTTGACTAGATGGGACTCCAGGCTGTTGGTTTTTCATGGTTTTACATGACGCAGAAATGTATACAATGGACGCAGACAAAATATGTATGGTATCACATGGGAAACACAAAAATAGACATTTTGCCAAAGTCTTGACAAGAAATATAAAGGTCATGTAATTAATTTAATTATCAAGTTTTGCGATACAGTATATGACACTACACCATTTCATCATTTAACAGCACACTCATACTTCCTGTAAGGACCCTTGAAATTAATCATTGGAGGTCTCCCTGGCTTCTAGTTTTGCAGGTCAAGGTAAATGCCTGAACATTGACTGATTGTCATCCAAAATGATCTATTTGTTTCAAATTTGGTAATGTTACAGAAGAATGTCATTTAGAAAGTCATGTTGTCTGCAGCAGGGGACCAGTGGAGGATGAATAGAGGTTCCTGGGGGGTAATGGGGTCTTGTGGATGTGGGGGCATTTTGTTTTGAAAGTTGGTGCAAATGAAATTGGATAATTGTTATGTAGAAAAGAAAGTGGGCTGTGTTTTGGATGAGTGCCCCAGAGGATTAGTATGGATATGGGTCTGGTATAAACTAACAATGAATATTCATTTGTCAATTTTCATTAAACGCCCACCCAAATTTGTAGAGCAAATACTTCTAAAGCTGCCGAAAGTTCTCTGTTTAACGTTATCATAATCTGGTTAAGCTTGTCCGAATCCAGACAATTGCTTGACAAACATGCAAAAAATGCCCACAATTTTGCAGGTAACTGTGGTATTCCGTCTTCCAAGGGTTATTTGTACTTTAAATGAGGGAATCAAATCTCATGAAAAACAACAGACACAGACGAAGTGCTTCTGCATCCTTGATAAGGAGGGGAGGGGGGGGTGAGGAAGGGGGGAGGGAGCCATTGTGTGGGCCCACCTGTGCCGGACTGTTTGCATCTGGCCTTTGCCTCTAGTTGGCTCCGTCTCTCAAGACAGGAAGTTTTCCCCGCATCCTGTGAGATGTTTGGGGGGAAGTAGACTCGTATGGATACAGCTCTGTAGACGAGTGTTTGAATCGGTGGTGGCTGATGGGTGATCGTATTCATGGCATGGAGTAATGTGTAGGATTAGCTTGGTGTTCTTCTGCACAGGAACTTAGCCAAATTTTTTGAAAGTCTGTCAAGGATTAATTCCATTTTTCAGGATGACTGATTGTGATACATATCTTTGTTTATGATGGCGGACTTCAGTGTGGATTTAACAAAACTTGGACTGATAGTTGGACCGACGTTTGTGTGATTTGTGTCGCAAATGTAGACTTTTTTGAAAGAACAATTTGTCATTCATCTTTTATCGTGAGGTGTGTGACACAATGTTGGCACAGTTTCCACTTTGTGAAAGTACACTTCACCTGAACAAATATTAAGGAATTTGGCAAATTGTTTACAGAAAGAAGGTGCTCTTTTCTCCAACAGTGAAAAAACAAACCAGCTTCAACGTTAGAAAACAAAAACACAACGTCATCTTTGAACAACTTTGTGACTTCGTAACAAGATCCTTATTAATGAGATCTTGCTCAACAGTCAGCCGGCAAATTGTTTGAAATCAGCCTCAGTTCCTGTCGGGCGATGTAACTATCTAATCTAGATAAGTGTAAAGTCGAGATAGCTGTGTTATGTAATTTCCCTTCCTCTTGAGAGGACAGACAGAAGCTAGGGGGATTTCCACCTGGTAGCATCCTTAAACAGTTCAGTCTGGACTGGTCAGAAAACTCGAGGATTCTGACAAACTTACTGACCCTATTATATATTCAGTTCGTTTGTGGCACCGTCTGTTTGTGGGGACTGTAAGATTTAGTTCAAACGTCCAGGACAAGTTCTATAAAAATAGCTTGACAACTGATTCAAGAATCGGATCAAGATCAATGGTGCTCAATCTGGAGAAAACTTGTCTTTAAATTGTGTAAACTGGATTGTGAATTGACAACTTTTGAAAAAAACAATTGATCCTAATTCGTCGAAGACATCAGTTCAAGAGAACCATCGTCTAGAATGCTCAAGACCACAATGCGTACAATCTGATCACCTTGTGCTGATGTTGGAAGTTACCCTCAGGATCATTAGTCTGTGAAACAAGTCCTGGGAGCTGGGGGCACTGAAACAATGCCGTGTCTCGGCCTCAAGATGAAGCAGCAAGATCACCTGGAGGGCATCAACATCATGTCAGGTACGTTCTCGCTCTGACGTGTTCCATGGAATTCCGCTCAGGGATTATTTCATGTCGTGAGGAGAGTACCTCCAAGCTGATCATGCTCTGTACTTCGCACGTCTGTGTCTTTATCCAATGTTAGAGTACTCTTTGAAACTGCATTGAAGACGATGAAACCCTGTATACTTCGTGTCCACTTTGGATCGTACAATGATCTTTTCAGGGTTAGAAATTAACACCAGCCTGCAAGCCTGGGACTGGTACAAATTCATTAGTAGAAATTTCCAAATTTCCCCATTGTTTTAACATAACAAGGTCATTTCATCTTGACCCGGGCTGGTAAAGGTTTTCCTGTTTAGTTCTAACTTGGCTTTTTTTTTCTGCTTTTTTGTTTGAATTTTGTATCTGGAGAGGCTGAGAGTCTGTTAGACTAACATTTAGTCTCTGAAATCTTATATTACACAATAACCTTCTTAGCTCTAAAAACAATAAAAAAATTCCCTATGCTGATTTCAGAGCTAGCTTGAGCTGGCTAGACTTGCATTTCTAGATTTTGTTTTTTTCATAAAATAAATATATTCCACGGTCATGGTGCAGGACTAGGAGTCTGTAAGGTCATTGTTAAGTAAGTAGCATGGGCCCAGTGGATTGTGTGTTCACTTGTCATTATCAAACATAGGTTTGAACCTTTTTCTCTACTTTGACATGGCTTCTGTATTGTGAAAGTGTCCTCAAATCCTATAACTCCAATATTTCTCACACTGGTATCTTATTTTGTGTTATGTAATTTTACATCATGGAGTTGTATCAGTGAATTATTGTGATTTAAAATGGATGATGTTAGTTCAGTACTTTATTGGAAACTTGGCATCTTGACAGGGTATCTTTTCACTTAAAAGTAATTATTTTCCTTTACTTTCAAAACACAATTAAAAGTTTCTTTCTTTTGATTATGTTTTATGATTGGTTGTTAGTGTTTGAAATTAAGGACAAATGTCAGTTGGTTCCTGTCTTACTTCATTATGGTAATTTAGAATGAATTAATACCCCCCTCGATTCCTGGCATGGAAAATTGTCAGGAAAGACAAATTGATCATGGACAAATTAAATACAGAAAAATGGACTTCTGTTGAACATCATGTGAATAAATTAAAAATATTGTGATTATTTCCCATGCAGACCATTTGAAGTAATCACAGATGTATTCTGTTATCCAGAGGATGTTCGAGGAATGTATATTATTTAGTAGACAGGGATCTTACGGTGGATTTGCATCTGTGTTTTTGGTGGCTAATTGAGCTGACTTCCCATATCCTGTCTTCAAGCAGGGCGCATCTTGGAGGTATGCTTGTTAGAAGGCTGCCTGCTTCCTCTCTATAGGCTGGGTAGATGATTTACCTTCAGACTTCGGCCGACATTACACTCAGGTGATGCTGCAGCTTGGGAGTCAAACTGAAGTTATGAGGAAATACTAATATTTTCCAAATGCATAATTTGCAGGGTTAGACATAGCCACTTGTCCATTAATGAGAGACTTGGGAAAATCTAGAGGAATGTGTTATTTTGTGCCTAAATGTGGTTATTTTCTCCCTAATTGTAGTTATTTTACATGAAGAACTGGTGCAACAGTTGCTGTGGAATTGCGGGATATGACTCATAGTGTTTCCCCTGTATATTGTGTGAATTTTGTTTGTGAAATGTGGACTTTTGAAACATTTTGTTGAAACATTTTGTTGAAATCGGAGGAACCTTTGGTTATGTGTGTATTTGGTATGTGAAATGTGTACTTTTGAAACATTTTGTTGAAATCGGAGGAACCTTAGGTTATGTGTGTATTTGGTTTGTGAAATGTGTACTTTTGAAACATTTTGTTGAAACATTTTGTTGAAATCGGAGGAACCTTAGGGTTTGTGTCAATGGGATAGTATGGTGAATATATATATATATGCATATATAATGATACTCTTTAGGGATGGGTGGGGTAGTCTTGTGGTTAAGGCATTGACTGGTCTCACTGAAGACCCGGTTTGATTTCCAATATGGTTATGCATGGAGTCCACTGATGGTGTCTTCCTAAATTAACACTTAGTCAAGGAAAGAATTTCTTTCAATATTTTTTTTGGTTCTCAATAGAACTTTACCTCCTCTACTTTTTTCATGTGGAATCAAGGAAACTAGACTTCACTTGGTTTAGTTCGATCTAGACTTGCCTTGGCATTCAGTAAAATATATTTTAAAAAATAAGAACTCCATAGTCAGAATGCAGGACTGGGGACTCCTGGGAGGATGTGGATGGATAGATGCCCAAGCAGGCTAAAAGCAAACTCATTCCCCCTCGCTGGTTCTTGTTCTGCCCCATTACAGACCCGTGCCTGATTCGCCTGACCTCCAGGTCGTACAGTTTAGTCCGTTGACCCATGTTTTATGTTGAAGATGATATTCTTAACTCAGTGAATTAAAAACACAGAATTTGTTTGTTTTAATTTTGCGATAGAAATTATTTCATCCATAATTTCAAATGTTGAAGGGCGGTCGGGTAGCCTAGTGGTTAAAGCGTTCGCTCGTCACGCCGAAGACCCGGGTTCGATTCCCGACATGGGTACAATGTGTGAAGCCCATTTCTGGTGTCCCCCGCCGTGATATTGCTGGAATATTGCTAAAAGCGGCGTAAAACCATACTCACTCACTCACTCACTCAAATGTTGAACATGGATGTATTACAATATGTGTCATTCCACATAGTGGTATTTGATAGGGCTGGGACGGGTAACTCTGGTACTCGGGTCAGGTGGGTACTGAGTAGGACCCAGGTACCCACAGGTCTACCTGACCCGTGGTTAGTCATATGATATATTGTTTAATGATGACAAAAATGATCTAGAACTCAAGTCACTAATGTTCACATTTTTTTCATTCTGACTATGCACACATTCCTTCTGACTATGATATGTTTGATGAAAGATAAAGCTTCAGTCATCTTCAGTGTATGCATGACAAGATCGTTAATGTAGGTGTATCAAAATACGTTTTGCCAGGGCTACGGTCAAATTTTCCCAATCAGACATTTTGTACCCATCTCTACAGACCTACAGCAGATACCCGGTTGGGTTCAGGTTATTTGGGGATGGGTACCCAGGCAGTAAATCTGGACTCGTCCCAGCACTAGTATTTGAACATTTTGTTTTGCAAGTAGACATGGTAGATGTTCGCTTGATAAACGTGTAGTCTTGGCCAGACAGGTAATTTTAGCCTGTGTTCTCTAACATGGAACCAGTGTCCCTGGCTATACATACCTATTTATCTAGGTCTCAAATGTCCACGATGATGTAGTTACCATGTAATAATGTTAGCTGTTGCAGACACAGTGGATTTAGAGACATTTGTTCAGCATCGCTGTATGTTAGATAACAACCTTGAAGGAAGACAAGAGATGGATTGCATCTGCTGAGATATGATTGTGTAGGTAATGGATGCTGGTATTGCTGGAGGTGTCTGTGGCTGCACTGTGGGGGACAGTGATATAGAGTGATGGTGTCGTACAGATTCTTTCCGCTTTTTTAGGAATGTCGGACACAGATATTAAAGTACAAATCTCATCTCACCCTGAAGTGCTTCTAATACTGTTGTTTTTAGAAATGTTTGACTTGAAGTACGTGTCATTGTTAAAGGCAAACCAGTATCATTTCTTGTCGATCAGACTTCTGTTCCAGTATGCCAAGATGTAGAAGGAATATTAATATACCGTATTCGACGTAATAATCGCCCAGCTCTTATAAGCGCCTACGGCGATATTTGCTAAATATTGTCTAGTGAACAATCCCAATTAACATCCCTTCTGATTGATAAATGTACACAAGACTTATTTATTCGTGTGTAATACGTTTGTTATATGCACCCTCAATTATGGGCAATTAAATTCTGGAAAAATATATCTGTCGCATATAAACATTTCAGGCTGTCAGCATTAACCACAAAATTTACGATCTTTCAACTCTGTTGTTTTTCACCAAAATATTATTCTAATAAGAGCTCCCTATTCATAATTTTGAGAGCGCCCTGGGCGCTTATTATGTCAAATACAGTACCAGGGGATAAAGAGGAACAGTGTAATTATTAGACTGTGTGGAAAATGTTGAATCTATTTGCTCAGACTTGGTTCCTAGCATCATTTTCAGTTTGCCTGTTTGTTTGTTTGTATGTTGTTTAACGCCGCACTCAGCAATATTCCAGCTATATGACGGCGGTCGGTAAATTATCGAGTCTGGACCAGACAATACAGTGATTGACATCATGAGCATCGACCCACGCAATTGTGATTGATGACATGCATCAAGTCAGCGAGAACCTGACCACCCGATCCTGATCGCCTCGTACGACAAGCATAGTCGCCTTTTACGGCAAGCATGGGTTGCTGAAGATCTATTCTACCCTGGATCTTCACAGGTCACAGATTTGTGAATTATTATGAAGATTATTATCAGTGATTATTAGCCGAGCTTACAAGAATTTTACTTGCCTCTGTCTTTGGACCCCCACCCACCCCAAAAGGTACAATGTTTTTTGTTTGGCCTGAATGACACGACAGTTTTTTTATATTTTCTTCTTTACTTTTCTTTTAACAAGCTGGTTTGTATTACTCTGGCCGTAGTCTTCACATTGAGGAGGAAAAACTGTGTTGTCTCCTGTCTTGGAATGACCTTTGAACAGCGATTCATAACATTTCAGTAGAGTGATTTCAAAACTGCACTTGACAAACCCAAAAGGCGTTATAATCTTCCCACCCCATCAACACACATTTAACCTTGCACTTGACATACTTTGTGTGTCAGCTTCAGTTTGTACTTTCATATTTAGGGTCTCCGTGGTCTAGTGGTAGAGCGTCCGCCCGGAGAGCGTAAGGTCCGGGGTTTGATCCCCAGCCGCGTATTACCAAAAGACGTTAAAAGATGGTACTTGTTGTTACCCCGTCTGGCGCTCGGCATTAAGGGGCTAAAACAAGGACTGGTCGTCTCGGAGTC